TGGTCAAACGCAGATGAAGCTGCTCGCGCGATCTTATGTTTGGTGGCCAAGAATGAACCATGAAATCGAAAAACAAACTCAACAGTGCGAACAGTGCGCATCAATATCGGACACTCGACCGCAAGTCCCTCTGCATCATTGGGAAGATCCAGGAACACCTTGGCATCGCCTTCATGCAGACTTTGCAGAATTGGACCAAAAGCACTACCTCATCGTCATTGATGCTTTTAGCAAATGGCCGGAAGTCATACCGATGACATCTACGAAAGTATCAGCAACCATGGATGCCTTCAAAGAAATATTTTAGCACCATGTTCTTCCACAACAGTTGGTAATGAACAATGGACCTCCGTTCATTAGTTCCGAATTCGAGTCGTTTCTGGTTCAAAACGGCATTGACCACCTTCTCACGCCACCGTATCATTCGAAATCAAATGGGCAATCCGAGAACTTCGTGAAGACGTTCAAGACCGCTCTTCGTAGCGCAAAGGGAAAGGACAGCCGGAAGAGCCTGCAAGACTTCTTGATGCGATACCGCATTACCCGTCATATATCCACTGGGAAGGCCCCATGCGAACTTTTGAACCAGTGACACTATAGGATGGTGATTGATTTGGTAAAACCCTCGGCCAAACCGTCCAGGTCTCCACAGATCTGCCACTTGAACTTGCGCTCGTTCGCAATTCACCAAAAAGTCTGGATCAAGCACCCTCTGAGAAAACAGCACTGGATTAAGGGTGTGATTCAAGGAAGGGTAGGCAGCGTGATTTTCGAGGTCCTGGTTGAGAACTTCAAAGTTCGCCGTGTGCATGCTGACCACCTAAAGAACAGAGTCACATCCGACGCTTCCGAAGGCCTCCTGTTTCCTGTCAGCAGAAGTCAAGCGGTGGAACGCACTGCGTTTCCAATGGAATTTCCAACTCCAGCAAGCCCAGGAGGGTCACACCGTAATTTGGAGCACATTCCAAGGTACCCTCAACGAAGACACATGGCACCGGAGCACTTTCAGTCTTCGTAACCGGGGAGATGTAGCAGACAGCCTGCTATCATCATTGAAGGGACTGTCAAGCCAGGTGCACGGGCTCGCGTGGCTGGCAGCTCAGGCGTTCGGCACCATATGGCCTGGCGGCCGGACATGTTTAGTTTCGGCTCCTCGAAATAAATATATTTGCCACCTGAACCAGGTTACAACAGTCACCACGATTTTAACATTGTGTAAAATTGTTTTAGGTAAGATGTGACTGCTATCATTTACTTTTGTTTTGAGCGAGATGTATGCACTGTTTGAGTGCGTTGCTGGGTTGCCATGGTCCGGCACACAAGCGCTTGTGCGCTTATGCGGGCCATCAATATCACTGTACAAAAGACTCTGCAATAAAGGATTTATTATTATTATTATTATTATTATTATTATTATTATTGCATCATCGTACATCATCGTTTGGGACGCATCAGTGTCGGCTTGGATTTTCCTGTCGTGTTGTTTTCATAACATTGTGTTGTTTATGATGCCTTAGTTTGTCAGCAAGCACAAAAAAAGCAGTTGCAGTTGTCTTTTCCCTTTAGAATCACGTCGTCGTCTGCTGCCACGTCCGAGTCGTTCACGCGGTGGTCCCACTGCGGCCGCAGAAAAAACAACGACGCCACTACTCGAGCCACTCCGGCTGCTTGGACGACTCAAGGAACTTAGAAACAAGTGAACATCTGGTTAAATGGAACATGGTTGAATTGTTGAATGGTGCTGCGCTTTCGTAAAACTTTCGCCGGGTCCTCAAAAATGGGGCTACCGTTCATGCGGGGTTTCAAGAATCTGCTTCATCGAACAACTTCAATCAAGCACAAATTATCACCCACGGTACCGTGTACTAGACCCACGGCTATTTTTATGACATCCTGCCGCCACAGCGCCGTCCGCCATATTACTATGATACTAGAATTAATATAACTCTACCAAAAAGATGGCCCACCGTGGCCTTGTTCCCGTCCATGGGCGGAGCCGGTCAAACGCGATCTAGCAAATTGTCATAGAGATCAGTGTTGCCACTAGTCAATCCTATTCGTCGAATTTCTCGCCGGCTTTTTCATCAAGTGTTCAGATTAGGGCCCCAGATCCGAGCGCCGTGGTGCCGCGAGGACGTAACGTAGGGACGCCAGCACCAGTTATTATGGATACTGCAGCGCGACGTCGGTTTTCATCGCTCATGTGTCCCCTGCTTAACAGTTGCCCGACGGTAAAAGCTTTTTTTCTGCGGTCTCGTTTGGCGGTAATGCAGAACGAATCAGTAACGCCAGCCAAAATCAAATTGTGGCAAAATAGAGCACCACAATGCGGGTGAGATTCCTTTAGAGCCTTTCCGGCGGTAGGTTTTGCACTTTAAATTTCACCACGCAGTGTTTGCCCGTTTTGTACAAAAAAAAAAAAAAAAAAAAGAACTATAGACCGCTTTTGAAAAAAAAAAAAGTTAGTTTCACTTCAAGCTAAGCATATCGGGAATCGCTGGTTTTTTAGTGACTGTCCCGATATTGTGAAGCACAGTTGTGCTTCACAGTATCGTCACATAACAGTTATAACCACCCAAATACATTTAGCAAAAGGTGTATTAAAAATTGTTTGACGATCAATGACATTGATCCGATGAAAATGCATTAGCATTGTTTCTTTTTTACCCCTTTTCACACCTTTCCATTCGTTTAAACCTTTTGTCATTCGTTTATCGGCCGCGTTTCTGCCGTTTAATTATGCCTTTTCTCTTCGGCTTTCCGCTGCACGCTTCCATCGCATTGGCTCTGTTTCGGCGTGATGTCTCCGACGCGTGGCCTAGAGCTTTTGTTCCGTCGTCGCTCTTAGATAAGGTCAGCCATATCACTCGTGGAAAGAACCCCATGCATCGCGGGGGCGGACACTGAGCCAAGCCGCATTCGAAAGCGGCGCGCCGCCTGCTCGCGTCTGGCTCCGCGTCAGCTGTGCGACGCTCGTATACGCCTCGCAAGTGGGCTCATTTTCGTCTTCTGCGCATGAGAAAGGAGGCGCGAAGGCGGGAGAGGAGGTTGATGACGATTCCGACTAAGCTCCGCCCTCGCACATGTCGGGGGAGGCCGGGGGGTAAACAAACATCGGCGTCGGCCATGGCGGCCGTGTTGTAGCGGCGACCGCGAGTCTTTTATTTATTGTAGCCCGGTTAAAATTTGCCGAGTCCACAAGATCGACCAGCTTCGTGCCCCTTACGATTCCTCCGTCGTCTGCTAGAGGCATTTCGAAGATTCCAAGATGAAGACGACGAAGAGCATCAAAAGAAGGCGCTTGCCTAGCCTCGCGATTGAAACGCCGGTTGCGCCGGTCACTACGAGACCGCCGCCCGATTGTACCGGTAAGTTGCCTTTTATCTTGTTCTTCCTTTACGAACACGACGGATTTTGCCTTCTAGCAGGTCTTTATAAATCTTGTGTGGCGGAGTCGATAGGTGCTATTAATCGAAAAACGGCCGAGAATGTAGCGTTTTCGCGATCCTCCGAAGCCTATCTTCGCAGGTGATATTTAGGAATATATACTCGTCATTTCGACTCGAAGCTGCACGGAGGCCGTATAAGCTATGTTCCGTTTCATTTTAAATGCGGTCGAAGTTAAATCTACATGGGCGAATCCCGAGCTTTGATCATAGCTGCCATGCATGTGCGATCTTGCAGTGCAAGCGCTGATCAGGTTCTCGCGTTTGTAATTTTCGCTTCGTTCGCACTTAGGTGAGACGCAGTATAGTCATACATCGTATTTGGTATAGTAGTTGCAGTCTAATGGCTGTTACGTGTAATACAGTGAACCAACTCGGACAGTACAAATTTGCCGTTTCACATTAGCCAGTATGAGTGAATTGCCGACGAAGTACCGATGCCGCCTTTCTGCGAAATGTGTTGCGCAGTGTATCTTGGAACCACATCGACGCTGTCAGTGTCTGACGTGTTTTTGCGTGTCACTTGTCTCTTTTTTCGTTCCCATACCAAGATAAAAATTCGGAGATCGCGCACTATCCAAGCCTAGCTAACGAGCGCCCCATGGAATTGACACGGGAGTAAACAATGACTAATATGTACATATTTTTGTTGGCTCAGCAGACTGGGTCAAGCAAAAGCCAGTGTATAAGTGACAAACTTTCTAACATCATTTGTCATTTCTAGGTCCCAGATGGGCTGTTGACATCCAGAAACGCACCAACAGATGGTGGTCATACAGCGATTGTGAAGACATTCCCATTTGGATCTACATTCCTAGTCCACTCATTGATAATCTTTCCTTGTTTCATCAATGCCCAAGCATGCCAGGTGCTGAGTGACTACTCGCATGTGTTAGTGATGGTGGCATGCGAGGCTTCAGTATTGTCGCTGCAGATAGGGCTCACCCTCACACCAATGCTGTTTTGGTGTACCTTTCCATGGAATTGTTTGGTTGATTCCAATTTCCTAGAAACGCCAATATTCAGTTTGGTGTGCCTTGCGGCTGAAATAGATTCGTCAAGGAGGTCTCGTCTCTTTCATGGGAGTAACACCATGTCAGCTGCTGTGCATGAGCCACTTGGAAACTGTTCGGACTGCTCTAAAGCACTTGTGATTGACCTTACCTGTTGTGTCCATGCTAATGCTGAAATGTAAAGTTCACTGAACCAAGTTTTACTAAATAACAAACACAATCAGTGGAAAGGTTGAATGGCTTTATTTGTTTTCTCGAAGTATACGCTATTTCATACATAATACATGATGCTGGCAAGGCTACTTTCATTAGCATGCAGGCAATTTAGTCTACATTTTGTTTCACGATAGCTTGGTGAACTGTGGAGGCTACGGCTCCTGCGACCCAGTAAGAATGTCGGAGCGAGGCACATGGACGCATGTCACAGGAGCGTTCGTGTCACCGCGCCAAATGCAAGAACCACCCGCCAGAACCGGCTGTCGTCTTACAGCCACATGCTCAATTTGCCCATGAATCTGTGGCGGGTGCGAATGCTAGGGCGATGTTTTGAGCGGAAGTGGTCGATTCACGGCTACAATTGCTTGAACTTCGATCACAGGCCATGTTTTTCTCAGAAAAGTGTTGATCTATATTAAGTGTCGCTAGTAAGTAACAAATGTCTTCGTCTTTCTTCAGTGTCGTGTAGTGTTGCGGTCCGAAGAATCCGACGGCAACACTACTAAAAGAAGAAGAAGAAACAAAGCCTAGAACTAGGTTTTGTCGCAGATGGCGCTCTTGCTGTGGCAATAACGAGGACTCGACCGTGGAGTATTGTCACGTGCCTGGCTCCGATGCTCTTATTGGGTCGCAATGTTTGCCAAGTTACCGAGAAACGGAGTATAGTGTCTCACCTGTACACGCTATAAAACAAATGAGATGCCAGGTGTAGCAACTCACGCAGCTGTAGCCCTTATATTATTCTTTGCTATGCTGTTTGGAAAAATACATAAAAAAATCAGTTTACAAAGCCGAATCTAATTTTTTGCCCTCTTGCATGTTACAAAAATAAAAGCATCACGCCTGAACACCAACATCTGTCTCTAAATTATTCCTTGCTGAAATGAAAAATAAATATACTGTGAATACGAACCAATACAATCTCAAACAGGTTTAAGAATGGATATGATTCAATAAAATATTATTTCAATCTGCAAGCTTGAAATCAAGTATTCATGAAGTAGGCAGATTACTTTCAAGTCGTAAGAGGATAAAGTCAGAAACAACTTCAGCTTGCCTTCAATCAAATTTTCCCTTTAGATCCAGGGACGTTTCACCTTCATAACGTCATCAGTACCAATTGGCATCCATTCAGGACTGTAATGGTAGATGTACAAGCTTGACCTCAAGGTCGCAGTGCCCTCCTTTCATCTCCTTGCAGTGCGACCCCTCGTGCACTTGGTCCCAGATGGTGAAGCTGGTGCTGGACAGGATGTCGTCCCCTGTAAAAGAGTCGTCCCAGTAGTCAAACGATCAGGTTACACTCTTGAGCAGCGTATTTGTCCTCCCATGCCATTAGCAACTGAAAATCAGTGAAACCCTATTTTTTAAGCAGCAGAATGCATAAATGGACATGTCTATTCCATTCCCTTCAAACCGAATACCTGCCAACATCCAAGGGATGCAAATCAAAATAAATAGCATTGTATTATTTGCTCTTTTGAGACTCCTTGAACTTAAACCAACTCAAACACTACCACAATTTTAAAGCTGGGAACTTCGAGGACACCTCTCCATATACTGAGATTACATGCTTGTCCCACTCCTGGCTTGTCCTCAGCAGGGTTGGCCAGCGTGTCCTCATACTCCTGGGTTGTTAGTCTTGGAAGTTAAAGCTTTGGTTTTTGTCATTGCTTGGTTGCTGGTAGATGCTGGAGGAAGCTTGTACTGTTACTTTGAAACATTAAGTTTACAAATTGAACACTAACCCGTATTGGTGGTTGAATGCAGAAGCTAGATTTGTCATGTCAAGGAGGTTGTCATAAAACAGTGGGCACGGGACTGAACATAGCGGCGGAGTGGGCGACCGAGGCGCATTCGGGAGTATCAAAGAAGACAAGGTGTGCGAGTTTTGCGCGAAAGCAGGACGATTGGCCAGATATGTGAGGATGTGGCGTCGAGAGACCTTGAAACGGGCTAACTGCATGACTGTTATCTGAGCTACATTAACCAGAGGAGAAGAGAGAGTAACACGTGAACAACACTCTACAGCCGAGGAGGTAATTGACCAGGTTATTTCACCCAAGCATCACAGTAGTCATTTCAACGACCAAGAAAAAAACGTCCAAACATCAGCACAGCAATACCAGCAGCGAGCCAAGGAATCGGGTTGTGTGTATGTTTATACAGTCTCGAACTTGATCTGCCTCAACGGGCGATGGGTCTCCCAGCTGTAGATGACCGCTAGCCTGGGGCCCTTAACGTGCATCACGTAGCAGTGACACACGACCGCACGCCAATACAGCGCTCATCCAGATCGAAACGGGCAAATGTGGGGATTGAACACACGATTCTGGGTTCTGCAGCGCGAGCTTTCACTCCACATTCTCCGAGCTGGTGCGTGCAAGCCCCCTCGGCCACCAATCCCCCAGTGCCAGGGAATAACATATAATAAATGACAATGGTACAGTGGTCTGCAACAGGTAGCTTTTCAGTGCCTTGAGAAACCAGGTTGAGATCACGTGACACTTTCCTGCCATATGTGGCTTGCAAAATAGAGATGCATAAGTCATAAAGAAAGTAATAATTTGATTTTGTTTTTACTAAAGACATCAGCATCTGTATTTGGCTTCCACAACTTCTGAAAGCTACCGCTGAGTGCATAGAGTGGTTTTTTTCATAATCTTACCTCCATGGAGAACTTCCCAGCTGGTAACGGGGTCGTGAAACGCAGACCCCCGGAAGTCGCACAGGCGCCGAGGGCATTATACAGGGCCCTCAGCATGTCCTCCGAGCAGAGGGCCCTTTCAGTAGCCCGGCAGCCGGTGGATTCTGTTGGAATGATAGGGTAGGGGGAACACAAGCATTTGCAGGTTAACGGACCTCAGAAAACTAGTAGGCAGGTACGAAAACATGCTACTCGCCCCCGCAGCGTTTGCCTCACTGGCACTTTATGGTGAAACAAATCAGCAGCGAGCGACTGATGGAACACGCGTCAGAAGAACAGTTCGTCTTGAGTTTAACACCCTAGGACGGCGCTTTATCGCGTGCGTGAAGCATTGGCGTAGCCAGGTTTTCTTGGGGCCGGGGGGGATTTCGGGTGCGAGGTACTGAACATCCCCTCCCTGGCTACGCCACTGGCATGAAGTGACATCGGATGTCACTTAGACACGGCGCTATCACTGCTAAAATAGGCTACCATCGAACACTGAGTCGTGACTGCGAAGTTTATGACCCACATACAGATATCCTACCACACTATCTGTTTGGACAAGTGGCATACAATCTGTCGATGGGGGGACAGACTAAGAGAGACAACTGCGCACTCGGCTCGGTCGTACCACACCGATCGCCTAATCCGCTGCTTTTTCGTAACATTCCGTTTTACTTTGCTATACTCCTTTCACGTGCAACTGTTTGTGAATGATGCGAACTGTACAGAAACGACGTAACTCACCTCAGCGAGCGCCATGGCGCGGTTCTCCGGGTTCCAGCGCTGCGGGAGATCGGCCTTCGAAAGCTCGGCTGCCCGTTCAGCTCGCCGAAGAGGGCTGTAGCTACACTTCGGTGCTTCACGGAGACACCGAGACACTTGCTGGCGAAATGGGGTCTCCGCCAAAAAGTAGAAAGGCTCACTCGCGTCGCACATCACCGAGCTGACATTCGGGGGGCTCACATCAACATCTCACCGCCGAAGACCGGGACGCATATTGGTGCTTCGTATGCTCCCAGGGTAAATTCTTTCGCGTCAAACGAAGTAACGTACATTTCGAGGTATTTCCGGTCTCTTTTTTCCGTATGCCGCGTCTTCGTTCAAGCACTAGCAGTGGATTTCCGCGAGCCACAGAAACGGCCTTCCGCAATGGCTGCGGAGAAAAGACGACACCGCTTTGTTTACCCCCGAGCTCCCGCCAGCTCTCGCCCGGAGCCATCCTCCAATCAGAGCGCGGCGAGGTGACGTCACGCCACCGGCCTGCGCGAAAGAGCAGACGGCTTTCCCTCCGTATTAGTCCGAAGCGCTGACGTCAGCACCGCGTCACCCTCTCCCTATCTTCCAGCCGCCGACTTGCGCCGACGCGATACCTCCTCGTCTCTTCACGACATCATGCAAGGCGCTGACAAACGGACGCACGGACTGACACCGGCGGGTTTTCATGGAAACGTGCGGTCTAATGCTAAAGCATTAAAACGTCCGCCGCAAAGCAGTGCCCGATTGAGATAGACCGCTGCGGAGCGAGGGCTCAGAGTGTTTGCAACGTACGGAACACTTCGGCACGCCCTACTATGTCTCGTGCACTGTATCTTACCCTCTTTAGATAACGTGCAGTGGGGTGGATATAAATAATGAAAAAATTTTTGAAACAAATCGAAAAACGGCGAGTAATCCGACGGATATAGTTGATTGGTGCTTTGTCCGGTTCTGTTTGCCTTTCTTACTCACTATTTTCGAAGGCTGCTTTCTTTCGGCAAGACATAAAATCCGAGTCCATGCCGTGAAGCAATCGCCTGCGCTTTAAATATAGAAGCAATAAACGTATTTCATCATCTTCATCATCGGTGAAACGCCACCTAGACGATGTGCCTCGAAACATGTGTGTTCCATAGAATACACTGCAGTTACCATAGCAGTCGTTCCCTAAAACAGTGGCGTGTCAAATGATGGCCGTCGAGCCGTGGGGCAGAGGGGGGTACTGCTTCTGCAAGCAGCGTCCCTTTATGGGCAGTTCCGCAACGCAGCTAATCTCGTAACATTGGCCACAATCATGAGCAAAAAAGAAAAAACATCCGGCTGTCACGGGACATACTGGCGTTATTTAACGTCATGATGTTACATGATGCCGCAGTCCTTCGTAACGGTTCTTCATGATGGTTTTTTCGTCGAATTCGGCTGATAAAATTCATTTTGTGTTAAAATGTATCGAAGAAGCCGAGGAGAGCTGCATTGAGATTCTTAAGATAGCTGCAGCCAAATCGAAATATACATATAGACCAACACGCGGCCCTGACGTCACGCAGCTGCGGTGGCGCTGTCGACAGCACTGCTCATAGGCAAACGTGTCACTTGACGCGAATCTGGTTTCTGCGCACGCGCAGTGCCCACACGTGGTGTGGGCAAACGCGGGCTTGTTTGTAAACAGCGTGTCGGTCTATAGCTGAACAAACTCAATAGTACGAGAAAGAACAAGAGCACACGTTGAAAGCGAGTCCATGGTCATGTGTTTGTCTTCCAGCTATGCGGAATAACGTGTTTCGGGTTATCAGCTTGTTATGCACAGTGAGGGCTTCACACTTTTATATTAGCTGAAGCCTTATTTTTTATACGTCGTTTCGCCGTAAGTAAGAGCGCAGTCACAGACTAAGAGACACACAAACACGTGCACGCATCTACTAAAAGCACTTGGTTGGTTTAGGCCGATGAAAGCGCACGCGCAGAAACATGACAAACGCTGTGGCGTTACACGTTCCCATTGCTTAATTGGTCCTATTGAAGTGTAGCCTTGTATGCGCTCCGACAAAAAATAAAAGTGCAGAATGCAAAAAAAAAAAAAAATACAGTGTTTTTTGTGTTTGTTTTTTTAAGTTTATTCCTCCTCCTCCTTTCACTGCAAAAATAAACTACGCATCGCCGAACGCTCATTCTCCGCCCACAGGTAGCGCTGGAGGTCTGAACCAGATGCCAAAGTTTCAGCCCGATCCGATACCTAATTCAAAGTTTATAAGTGATTTTCTGGAAGTTTCAATGGGAACAGAGAGTTTTAGAATAGGGGACCCCAACGGCTTTGGTGAACCCAACGCTTTGGGGTACCTAACGCTTTGGGGTACCTAACGCAACGACACCTCACGCAGCGTACTTATAGGTATAGGGTTTGTGACGACGCAACGCGGCACGCTCGCCTTTTTCGCGTGCAGCGCCATTGTGGACAACGAGCGAACTTCTTAACAGTGAAAAATTATTAAAACGCAAAACATTTGCGCTGAAACGACACTTTATCGTGGCTTGCGGTTCAAATATTAGGGAGGGTAACACCAGTTGGAACGGCACAGCAAGACCCATCTGCCGACCGTCTCTGAATCAGAAGATTTACTTCTCTGGTCACAAGAGAGTGCACGCCCTCAAATACCAGGCTATCATATTCGCCAATGGAATTACCTGCGAACTTGACGGTCCATTCCCCGGTCACAGGCATGACGCTGGTAGGTGAAGCTCGCTTTTAGCCCATCCGGTAGCTGAAGCAGCACGACAGTTATAGAGAGTTTTATAATAGGGGGTCCCTGTCACGCGGGAGGAGGTACGCGGAGTCATTAGAGACGAGAAGGTCAGTGGAGAATGAGAATAAAGGAATATATTTACAAAAGAAGAGGAAAGGAAAGGGAAAAGACAACTAGAAGTAGTGCATAAGTAAGTCACCATCTCAGTGATGAGTACCCAGTCGAACCACTCGCTGACACTTACTCGTGGTTGGGGGGGTTCAGCGCTTGGAGGCCGTACTGGCGGAACGCTGTCCCAGGCTGAGTCCAGTTCCTCGGAACGTAGCCCAGGCTTGCTCGGTGCGTCGCCGAGAGCTCGTTCCTTGGCTCGGTGCGTCGCCGAGAGCTCGTTCCTTGGCTCGGTGCGTCGCCAAGAGCTCGTCTTTGGCTTGGTGCGTCGCCGAGACCTCGTTCCTTGGCTCGGTGCGTCGGCGAGACCGGAAGCTCCAGCCGATTCCGAAAGATCTCGACCGCTTCTCTTCCTCGAGCCCACTGCTCCACTTCTTCCTCTTTCCTTCTAGTGGCACACCCGTGAGACTGCCTCCGCACTTTTGAGAAGATCGCCTTGAGATCTATCTTCCTGGCGTCTTAAGTTGGCTCCGCTTGATGCCGTGGTACGGCGCGCGCCTCGCATGCGCTCTGGCCGTTTTAATTCACTGCAGCATGGCTAACTGGCACCACCTGGTTCGCTGTTCAAGTTCACACGTATCACACGACGACAACTTCATGCCACAAAGATCAACTTTCCGGTTGAGTCACATACACACAAACACAATATATATTGACCACAAAAAACAAAAACAAAGGGACCTTGACCCTGGCATGCCACCGAGATTAGTTTACACCACCCCCAACAAAAAAAAAAAGAAAAACCAATGCGTCTACACAATCCGAGAATCATTTCCGAAACCCTGGTTCTCATCTTAAATCCGACTTAAAAAGTCTGCGCCGACGTAATCACACCTCTTGATATACTCCACATAAAAATCATAATCTTGCAGCTTCATGCACCATCGCATTACTCTACTGTTGGTGTGCTTCGCCCTATTCAAGTATTCCAACGGCTGGTGGTCCGTTTGTACCAGATACTTCCTACCATACAGATAGAGTGTAAACCGTCTTATTGCCCAAACTAGGGCCAGATACTCCTTCTTCAATCGTCGCGTAGTTTCTCTCTGCCTTAGAAAGTTTCCTACTTGCGTAGGCGACGGGATTTGGCAGCTTATCTTTCTCTTGAAAAAGAACCGCTCCCACACTCTCATCCGAGGCGTCTGTTCGCAGAACAAACTCTTTGCCTAAGTCTGGAGCTAGAAGAATGGGCGGCTTCGCCAACGCCGCTTTGAGCCTCGAGAAATCCTCTTGTTCTTCGTCCCATTTTACGCTATTGTCACTTCACTTCTGCGTCAATTTCGTTAAGGGAGCAGCCACTCCTGCGTAGTCGGGTATGAATTCCCTGTAGAATCCCGTAAGTCCTAGGAATGACCGGACCTGACGTTTGGTGGTCGGTTTCGGCGCGTCCTGGATTCTCGTTATAATCTTTCGGTTTGGGGCTATGTGACCGAACCCCAGTTTGTACCCCAGAAAGCCAATCTCCTCGAATCCGACCTCGCACTTTTTTGGTTTCACTGTGAGACCGGCATCACACAGCCTCTTAAACACGCTCCTTGACGCTCACACGTGTTCCTCCCATGTGTCCGTTGCTACCAACATGTCATCGATATAGTGATGAGTATTTGGTATGTCACCCAGCAGCATTCGCATCAACTTTGTGAAAGTTGCTGACGCAGTCTTCAGGCAAAAGGTCATAAAGTTGAAATGGTACAGCCCGCTGGACGAAGAGAACGCGGTCTTCTCTTTAGCGGTTTTCTCCATCGGTATTTGCCAGTAGCCCTTGGCCAGGTCTAGTTTTGAAAAGAACCGTTTACGTCCCACCTTTGCAAAGGGGACGTTCACGCGTGATATGGGCTCCGAGTCCGCTACCAACCGGTCATTCAACCTCCTGAAGTCTATGCAGAACCTGCTCCTACCGTCAGGCTTCTTCACCATCACGACAGGTGCGTTGTACGGTGACCTGGATCTCTCAATCACTCCCATCGACAACATCGCCTTTATCTCCTTCTCGACCATCTCGTGAACGTTCAGAGGCAAAGGTTACTCTCTCACGTGTATAGGCGACTCCACGGTGCATTTGAGGTCGCATTTCAGTAGGCTTGTCTTCCCTGGGGAATCCAAGAAGATCGATTTGTATTCTGTAATCAAATCCAAAAATTGTTGCTTGTGTCCTGGATCCAGTGCCTGATTGACGAGCACGTCCTTCTCTGTCTGTTGTCTGCTCAGAATCAATGTGGGAATCTCGTCTACATCCTCCTCCCCACTCTCTGTCCCGGCCATGCCGCTACCCGTTGCCGCGCTGCAGCTCGGTTGGGCTTGATCCAGTTCTGCTCTCTCTTCATATTTCTTCAGCATATTTACACAAAAGAGTTTCCTTTTCCCCCCAACTTCAAGCTCATAATCCACTTAATTTCGTTTTGCAGTAATCATGAAGGGTCCCTTCCACTGCATTAACATTTTGTTACTGTCACCCGGTAGAAGGATTGTTCCCTGCTTTGATTTCTCGGTGGGTTTTCTTA